TTTGTTTCAGAGGCACACGCATGGAATCAGATAATAATAATAATAATAATAATAATATGCTTTTTATTTTGTGTTTTTATGGCAATAATGCACGTTTAATAAACGGTAATTTTCAAGTAAGTATTTGACGAAGGTAAATTATAATGATGTTATGATGTGTTCAAGTGCAACCTTGTAAAATACAGATTTTGGTGATAAACCAGATTTTCAAAGGAGATGTTTTGGTTAGTTTGCACAGCTGCATAAAGACAGGAATATAAGTGGAATATTAATTCTCCATGTCAACATCTCAGTGGGAATGTGTTATTTCCCGACGGCCCCTGAACTCACCTGATGACAGCCTTCGTGCTGTCGCTGCCACATTTAAACCCGTCGGCTCTAAAAGAGAGAGAAAAAAAAACACTGAGAAAATGTGTCATCACAAACAATCACAAAGTTACGAACTCAAACGGCGGTACCTGAAGCAGACGCGCTCGTAGCTCCGCCCCCTCAGGTCGATCAGCTGGAGGCAGTCGTCACGGCAACAGCTGAGCAGATGGCAATGGTCGGGGCTGATGTCCAGAGACGTGACTTTCCCATGGGCGGGAAGTTCCTGAATGCATCGCACCGCCCTGCAAGTGAGAATCAGAATACCTTCATTAACTCGTTTATTAAAAAGGAGTTTAATGGAATAAAGTTTATCTTTTAATAAATGTTAATTAATTTGTTATGTTTTTTAAGACTTTTTTATTATTATTTTTGTACTGAGAGTTTGTTAATGAAGATGGTTTATGATTTAATTTGTATTTTATATTTTTTATTATTAATTAAACTCTTTGTTTTCCTAACTATTTAGGATTTTTCGCTTTTTTACCTTTATGTTTTTTTTATCAGGGTCTCTTTATTGATGGATTTAACTTAATTTGTACTCAATATAAATTATTGAAGTGCTGTAAATAATAATACAAATAATAAGATATAATATATAAAAATACAAATATATATATATATATTTCACGCAAATATATACCAACATTGACAAGTTAAATAAAAAAAGGAGATTATAATTTGTTTTAAAAAATCTGACCAATGAGGTTCAGGGAGGTTTTACAGTGGCGTGTGATTGGAAGACAGAGCTGTCAATCATCAGCTGAAGGAGGAGAGGAGGAGGAGGGAGGGTCCTGGGCTGTTGCTAGGTAACAGAGGGAGACGGAGAGTAACCGTGACGACACCCGGAGGACGAATGAAAGGAGTGGGGTACTTCCTGTTAGAGCGAGACTGATATATCGTCTCCAGCTTTACCTGCCAGAGAAATAGTTTTTAAGCTTTTAAAATGAAGAGTTATTAAGTTATAACAGTTCTTCAGGAGAGAAACGAACTATCTGTGATTACTTCATCCAAAAAACGTGTATTAGAGGTTTGGCGTTGATGTTTGTAGCTGTGAGGAGCTGCTGCTGTACGAGAGCATGTTTTTATAACGACTCTCACGGTCTAAACAGAGCGTTAGAAAAATCACAACATTCTCACTTTTTTCAAGATTCTGACTTTTTCTCAAAATCTTTACTTTACTTCACAAAATCACAATATTTAAATTTTTTGCTGAGAATCTCAAAATGTAAAGTTTATATGGAGCTATTTCAGGGTCATAAGTTTTGATGATTCAAAAAATACAATTTATTTGAAAGTTCAAGCTTTTATCCTGAACTTTGAAAAATACAATGATGTATTCAAAATAAAAAAAAGTATTTGGAATAATTTTTCAGGTTGAATATTATTTTGATTCAGTTCAGCAATTTTTTTGAATAATATATTTATTTTCAGATTTCACTTTTATACATATTTTGATATTTGAATCCTTATTTTTTTCAGCACAGATTTTTCGTTTTCAGATTCAAAACAATTATTTTTTCAGTTTCAAATCTTGTTTTTTCAGGTTTCACATTGCTTTTCACCTTCGGATCGTTTTTCACTTCAGATCTTTTTTTTTCGCTTTCAGATCTTTTTTTTTCGCTTTCAGATCTTTTTTTCGCTTTCAAACTTTTGGCCCTGATATTGCTTGGGGGGGCGGGGCTTACCAAAGAGTAGTTTGGCATCCTGAGTGACAGGCCTCCCTCTGTCATGTTGCCTTCATGGATCTTAGAAAACTGAGACCAGCGTCAAAGTTCCGTTAAGCGAGCTGTTGAGCATCGTAGTTGGCAACAATCAAGTACAAATAAACTGTGTTAGAATGTGAAATTACGTATCCGCAACGAGCCAGCAGGTTGTTCTGGTGGATCTGACGCAATCCCCCGCTGTCTCACGGAGAGATACCGCAGGTCCTTCCTTCCTGCAGCGGTCAGACTATACAACCAGCACAGCCCCTAGTAGACCCCGCACAAAACAACACAGACTATAACACCTCTTATTGATAAATAACAACTATGTGCAATATTTGCAGTATGTGCAATATATATATATGCCGTTAAAAACTGTGCAATATATACCTGGCTGCTAAATCCGCAGAACTGTCACAGGGTGTGTATTATGTAAAATGTGTAACTTTAAAAATATANCCAAGCCAAAGCTCGCTTAGGGCCCCCAAAAGTCTAGGGCCGGCCCTGCCTGGCTGCTAAATCCGCAGAACTGTCACAGGGTGTGTATTATGTAAAATGTGTAACTTTAAAAATATATATAATTTCTTTTTTTAATCTTTAATACTTTTTGTATGCATGCTTTAGGTAGCATTAAGCTGTCTCTGGCTCTTCTCTGCTGTAACAATGTAAATGTATCCCCTGTGGGACTAATAAAGGTATTCTGATTCTGATCGCAAAAACCAAGCCAATACTATGCTGCGTTCATGGGGCTACGTGGAAGTGGGGAAGGACAACGCTTGATTGCGGATACGTGATTTCAGATTCTAGCACAGTTTATTGCTCTTATACCTTGATGGTTGCCACTACGATGCTCAACAGCTCGCTTAACGGAACTTTGATGCTGGTATCAGTTTTGTTTACCACCAATCACGGGAGTATTGTGTTTAGAAAGTGTGTAGTTGTATTTCTTGCGCTACCTAACATCCATGAAGGCATCATGACAGAGGGAGGGCTGTCACTCAGGGTGCCAAACTACTCTTTGGTAAGCCCCGCCCCCCCCAAGCAATATCAGGGTCAAAAGTCTGAAAGCGAAAAAAAACGATCTGAAGGCGAAAAAAAGATTGAAACCTGAAAAAGAAAGATTTGAAACTGAAAAAATAATTGTTTTAAATCTGAAAACGTAAAATCTGAAACTGAAAAAATCAAGTATTCAAATATCAAAATATGTATACAGTAAAAGTGAAATATGAAAATAAATATTTTATTAAAAAAAATTGCTGAACTGAATCCAAATAATATTCAAACTGAAAAATTATTTCAAATACTTCTTTTTGTTTTGAATACAACATTGTATTTTTCAAAGTTCAGGATGAAAACTTGGACTTTCAAATAAATTGTATTTTTTTGAATGATCAAAACTTATGACCCTGAAATAGCTCCATAAGTTTACCCTAAAATGTTACCTTTTTGCTTAAAATTCAATAATTATCATAATTGCGTTTTTTCTCAAACCTCTGAATTATGTATTTTTCTTTAGAAATGTTTCAGACATTTTCCTAAAATTCTAACTTTATTCTCAAAATCACAGCATTTTTACTATTTTCCAATTTCTCTTGATTTCTTTCTGAAAATTCAAGTTTCTCGAATTAAAAAAAAAAATCGGAAAATTCAAAAATAATTCTTCAGATCATAACATTTTGACTCCCCAAAAAATGACAAACTTTCTCAATTTCTTGGCATTCTGACTTTTCCTTAAAATGATGAAATTTTTCTTAAAATCAAAACATTTTTACTTTACATAAAAGATTAAAGAGTTATTAAAAATGTCCTCATATCAGATTTTACTGTCCTGCGGTCACTAACAGAGGATGCTGTAAACCCTCCCATCACCTCAGCTGAAGATGATCAGGTTTAACATTAGCGTTTAAACAGGAAGTGGGAAAAGGGGCGGGGCTTCATGAGGTGAATGACGTCACCTGGTGTCCCAAACTCTGATCTTGCTATCGTAGTGTCCGCTGATGATGCAATACCCAGTGCAGATGAGGTCGCTGCAATATGACGGCACCTCTACTACCTGCACACCTGCACACACACACACACACACACACACACACACACACACACACACACACACACACACACACACACACACACACACACACACACACACACACACACAAACATTGACAAATTAAATAAAAATCATATTTTTTCATATTTAGTTCATTGCCAAATACCCCGACTTGTTGCCAGAATATATATATTTGTTTGTGTGTGTGTGTGGGTGTGGGTGTGGGTGTGCGTGTGCGTGTGCGTCTCACAGCAGGCTCTCTGAAGGTCCCACAGTCGGACCGTTCTGTCGGCGCTGCCCGTCACGACCTGCAGATTCAAACCGAAACGAGCTGCTGTCACCCTCCTGCTGTGACCCGTCAGAGTCACCTGAGAGACAGACAGGTGAGAGAGGTGAGACAGGTTAGAGAGGTGAGACAGGTGAGAGAGAGTGAGACAGACAGATGAGACATGTTATTTATTTTCTCTTGTTTTTATTTGCATTGCATTTGATATCGAGGTAATCCAAAAGTAACGGAAAGTAATCAGATTACTGTAGTTTTATCATTTGATTCTCTGATTAGGTTACTGAGACACAGGTGAGACAGACAGGGGAGATAGACAGGTGAGTCAGACAGGTGAGACAGACAGGTGAGTCAGACAGGTGAGTCAGACAGGTGAGACACACAGGTGAGACACACAGGTGAGACAGGCAGGTGAGACAGACAGTTTAGTCAGACAGGTGAGACAGACAGGTGAGACAGGCAGGTGAGTCAGACAGGTGAGACAGACAGGTGAGACAGACAGGTGAGATCAGAGTGACGTCTCAGGTTGTTTCAGTGAGTTATTTCGTGGTTACCTTGGGAACGGGGTCGTCCAGCCGCCACAACAGAGCCGACTTATCGTAGGAGGCGGCGAGGACCCTCGGGCCCTGAGGACAGAAACATCGTAAACAAACACCTCGTCAGAACATACCGTTAAATTGTTAACAACGTAAACAAACTTTACACGTTAAGTTTGAACTTTGAACTTGTACGGTACATTTTTACGTTAAATGTTAAGTTAGTACGTTAAGTTAATCTCACTTTGGGGTCGAACTCGATGCAGGTGACGCCCTCCGTGCTGCCTTCCAGCGTCGCTCTGTGGATCAGCGAGCCTGAGGACCACAAGCATCCGTCAGAATAAAACAATGAAATAAATAAAAACTTAAAATCAGAAACGAAACACGGAACGCTAACGACAACAGTTAAGCTAACACAAACTAACACGAACACTGTTTCTCAGTTTGAGTGCACACTGAGAAATATTAAACATAAAAATTCAACAAACTCTAATGCTTTTTAAATAAACCATCATTATTCTTATCGGGTTAATTCGGTAGTATGTTTGCTAGCTCGCCAATTAGTTAAGTTATCTTGAAATATTCCAACTGATCGTCTTGATCCAAACCCCTCTATGCGTACCTTATTACTATTTGTATTCATATATTTATTATTTAAACGTTGTGTCTTTATTAAATCTCTCACCTGCTCTGACGTCCCACAGTTTGACGGCTCGGTCGGTTCCTCCGGTGGCGAGCAGCTCGGAGCTGGAGTTGAACCTCACAGCGTTAATGCCCTGCTCATGAGCTTCCTGACACACAGACAGACAGACAGACAGACAGACAGACACACAGACAGACACACAGACAGACAGACAGACAGACAGACAGACACACAGACAGAGAGACAGACAGACAGACAGACAGACGTTCTTGTTGGATTTTCTTTTTGCATTAAACAAATATTTCAGGGAATCTTAGTTACCAAATTACCAAACATTTAAAAATGAAGCATTCAAACTAAGGACCCCTTTCAATAATAACCTTATAGAAAGGTGCAGTGTGTTTTGAGTCCACCAGGGGGAGACACTCTGCAGGTCATATTAAACTTATTCAGATATAAGAAGTGTTATTAATCAAAAAGTTATTATATTTAACTATAAACCTATACAAAAAACTCATATATGTGTATATATATTTCCTTTAGGAGGAGGTTGGTCAAATACAGTGTGTTCTAATTTACTGCATATTTACTGTTTGTTTATTTTCTAACAGTACTTTAGGCTTATCTCGTGTGTCTTATTAACACGCTTCTCTATCAAATCTATTTCAGTACAGTAAATCTAATCTGTGTGCATACGAGTGTATATTATATGTATATATATAATAAATAAATGTATATATATATATATATATACATTTATATGTTATATATATAAATGTAGATATATATATATATATATATATATATTATGTATACAGCCTGTATTTATTACCAGGACGTGCAGAGCTCTGACAGGAAGTCGAGCTGACAGACAGACGCTGACAGGAAACAGCATATCCTCCTGCAGGCTGCTCACTGATTGGCCCCGCCTCCTCCTGATGACATCACAGTCACATGATGTCATGGTAACACAATGTCACAGTCACATGACGTCACAGTAACTTGACGTCAAAGTCACATGACGTCAGTCACGTGACGTCACAGTCCCGTGATGTCACAGTCCCGTGATGTCACAGTCACGTGACGTCACAGTCCCATGATGTCACAGTCCCGTGATGTCACAATCACATGACGTCACAGTCACGTGACGTCACAGTCCCGTGATGTCACAGTCACGTGATGTCACAGTCACGTGATGCCACAGTCACGTGACGTCACAGTCCCATGATGTCACAGTCCCGTGATGTCACAGTCACGTGACGTCACAGTCACGTGACGTCACAGTCCCGTGATGTCACAGTCACATGACGTCACAGTAACTTGACGTCACAGTCCCATGATGTCACAGTCCCGTGATGTCACAGTCACGTGACGTCACAGTCACGTGACGTCACAGTCCCATGATGTCACAGTCACGTGACGTCAGTTCGCAAAGACAGGAAAAATTACAGGGAATACTTTCTGAAGTTTCCCGATAAATTACGCTTTTATTTCTGTCAAAATGTGGCTCGTCTTGAAATATTCCAATTCACCCTTTGAAGGATTTATACCACCTTTTAAAAATATGCCAGAATATTTTTCTCAAAAATATTTAAGTATTATATATTATTATAGTAAGTATTTCTCTTACGGCTTTATTTCTATAATTATTATCATCATTATATTTAGAAATGTATTTTTTTAATGATAATTACTATTAACATTATTTGTTTTATTATCATTTTCATTATTATTTAAAAATATATCATTGTTCTTTTTTATTAATATTGTTAATTAGGGATATGGTTAGTCAAATAAAAAAATATAAAACAAATATTTCAACTTTCACAACATTATAAAAACAAATATTGAATTTTATATTTCAACTTTTTTTCTCAATATATTCAGATGTTGCTGAGATACAGTATTTAATTAGTTCAGATTAATTTAGAGAGAAACAGAAATAATAAAGTGTGAAATAATGAAAGAGACGTCTCACTGGAACAGCGCTCTGATGGAGGTGAGGATCCTCGGGGACGTCGCCGACGCCGACCTGAGACAAACAAACGCTCGTTAATTAATCAATTAAGAAATATAAAAATACACGGAGTCAGGGGGGGGGGACTCCTGAAATAATTAACCCGTGTGTTGTGTTCGAAAGCTGTTACCGTTCATGGTGTTCTGATTTATTTGAGTCCAAAACACTCAAAAAGAATTACTATCATCCAATATTGTTTTAACTACATCATAACTAACTTATTATGCATTCATAACCCTACAATCCTGTTTTCATTTTATTGTATGGCCCCAAAACACATTACACCACACATTTAAGTAAAACATTTGATTAAATCCACTCATTATATTCCCTATAGTGAAGACAGTGGATCATTACGTTATCTGACTATAATGGACTAATGTTAGAATACAATCTCCCCAAGTTTTAAATGATTGTTACAGTGGATGAAGGGGGTGGGGGGTAAAGTCAAAGATGAATCTTGATTGGGCCAAATTTGACCTCGAGTCACCCAAAACAATTCTGCTGGGTCTCCCCAGACCCGAACACCAAATTATACACTTTTTTTTTTTAGACCTTCAGACTTGCCTAGTGTTTTTATAGCTGTTGTGGAGGATATCATGAAGCCTCGTTCCGATAAAAGAAACTAGAGCGTAGTTATTATATCATTTTAACTTGAGACGGGTCACGGGAGACCCGAACACAACATAAGGGTTAAGAAGAATAACACCATTTTTTTTTTTTTGTATCTTTACATTTTGAAATTCTTTTGGGATATTGAATTTAAAAAAAATCTGAATATTAAAAAAATGTATTCAAATATTTAAAAACAAATCTGAATAACATAAATACATATCTGATTTAAATAACTGAACTTACAAAAATAAGTGAATATTTTAAATAAAATCTGAAAATGTAAAAACCCTGAACATAAACAATTAAATTGAACATAAACAAAAATCAAATTATATCCAAAAACGTAATATTTTAAATGTCTTTGAATATAAAAAAAGAATTGTAATATTTAAAAAAAATCTTAATATTAAAATAAAATAAAGAAATGATGTAAATGTTTTTGTTTTAGCTCCAGCGGGAATATTTTACAGAAGTCATATTTTGAAATGTTAAAAAGTTAGTGTTAAATGTCGTTATATTTTACATGAATTGTGAGTGTGAAATATTGGATAAAAAAATATATCAGAATATTTTAAAAAAACCTGAATATTTATAAAATCTGAATATTTAAAACAAAATCAGAAAATACAAAAATTATCTGAATATTTTTTTTTTAGCACCAGCGGGAATATTCAACATAATTAATATTTTGTAAATGTTAAAAAGTTTGTGTAAAATGTTGTTATATTTTACATTGAGTGTGGACGGTTACCTGAAGAGTCGCCGCTCCGACTCTCGCCTCGGAGACGAAGATCTGGAGGTCGGAGCGCTGCCACTGAAACCAGAAATATCAAAGTCAACTTTATTGTCAATCTTTCAGTTTGTGTGTACAGAAATACCATTTCCCACAATCCCAAATACAAAAACAAATAAATATAAAAATATTTGTGCAAATATGTATTAAAATATGTTTATACCTCACCGGAGTTATGTGATGGCACTATTAATACACAACACATTTTTCTATTGATATAAAATCATTTATTTTTACATATATATATATTCACACTTTTTATCTGTATTTTGAAATATGCAAAATATTTTTTACATTTTTCAGAAATATTTATTTATTTTTTCAAATATTATATATTTTTTTACCTTAAAAATCTTCTTTTTCATGATCTTATCATTTATTTTAAAATATAACATTTGAAAATATTTCTTCGGTAAAAATATTCCAGCTGTTGCTAAAAATGTTCAAAATAAAATGTTCTGTTTTTTTAACCTCTTAAGCCCCGAGCCTGTTTTTCAGGTTTCAGGCTCGAAAATGACATTCCCAGAACAAATGACCATATCTTCCCTTCTAAAAGGGTTCAATTAATAATCTTTTTTCTCAAAGTAATGATAAACCTGTGAGTTGGATGTAGAAGAGTCAGAATCATTATAGATGTTTTTTATTTTAAAGTAAATTCAGATTGAACATGGTAAAAAACTGTAAATTATTGTGTCCGTCCAAAAAAAAGACATTACTTATAGTGAAAACTAACCTTGGATGATGGGATGGTTGACTAAAAGCTTTAGGAATCCAAACTATAACATATAATAAGTACCCTGTATCAAGATTGATGCAAAACAAGATACATTTGACCTTTTTAGAGAGGTTTAGCAACAAAAAAAATTAAAAACCTTCTGGGGTCATTTAGGTGGATTTTCCATATCTCTGGACCCATTGGTCGATTTTGATGATTGACATCTCTTTTGAACCGTTAGAGCCAATAGAATCGAAGGGAAAGTTCCTACAGCCGCACCATCGACACATTCCATTGAGAAGTGAAAGTTATGCGCACGCAGTCGAAAGCTATGTTTCGCTCTGAAAATTGAAAACTAGTAAATAATATATGAAGATGGATTATCAGAAATCATTTGAAAGAGACAGACACATTGGATTAACCTATGGAGTAACCTTCAGCAGCGTTTTAATCGTTTTAATGCCATTGAAGACCTCTTTTGATCAGAACAACAGTAAAGTTGTATTCATACTGTGAGTTCTGTGCTAACTTCTTTAGCATTTTTTCGCTCAGGGCTCATTTAGACGCTTCTTGTGAGACTTGGATTTTGTTTCAGTATAAATTGTTCATATCGTCA